CCTCAATGCATCACTGTGGCAGGCACTTATGTTTGAGATGTATTTGATGGACTTCACTCTCTTTCTGATGTTTTGCTCCTTAGTGGCGACCCAGACAAATGTGACATCTGGGGGAACACTCCGCTCCATCATGCTGCTTCCAATGGTCATATCCACTGTCTCTCATTCTTGATCAAGTTTGGTGCCAATATATTTGCTCTGGATAATGATATGCGCACTCCGCTGGATGCAGCTGCCAGCAGGGACCAACATGAATGCGTCAGACTCCTTGACAAAGCTGCTACTGAACAGACCATAATGAATGCCAAGAGGGTCTCCAAACTCAAGGCCCAGGCTCAGAAGAATGTAGAGAAACAAATCAAGGAATGTGAAAAGCGCCAAGAGAAGCACCAACATGAAATGATGAGGAATTATAACAAAGAAAAGCTTGGATCAGTAAGTTCTGCCAGAGGCACAGCTTCCAGAATGAAGGTGCCTGATTTCTTTGTTCCCAATACATCAGGCACCTTCTCCAAAAGCCTGAAGAACACCTTCAGACTGAAGGCAAAAAAGAAAGATGAAAACATAGCTGATAAGGATGCACAAAAGAGTAGCCAAGAGGAGGAAGGCAAGGTTGCACGTATGGGGGTAATGGATGTATTCAATGAAAAAGATGAGGATGAATTCTTAAATTACTCTAAAGGGAGAAACATTTCTGAAGAGGAAAGCCAACAGGAGCAAATGTCAATTTTCCAACGGCCAGGTCTGGGCAAGATTGTGTTTGGAAGAAATTTGGCAGCAGACATAAATGCCGAAGAAATGTCCTTTGAGAAAGAAGGAATAAGCTTTAAAATATCCGGTGAGTTTTTTCAACAGAGAGGGTCTGAAAATGGAAGTGAGCTAGCCACTGAAAATGATCTTGATGTCCCTTGGAATGAGGAAGAAATTGGTTGGGAAGATGATGAAGCAGAGAGCACTCCTCTTGATGTATTTTTGGCCTCTCAGAATCTGAATGAGTTTGTTCCGGTCCTCCTCAGAGAACAGATTGATTTAGATGCCCTCATGCTATGTTCTGATGAAGATCTACAGAGCATACAAATGCAGCTGGGCCCAAGGAAGAGAGTCCTCAATGCAGTAGATAGAAGGAAACAGGCACTGCAGAATCCTGGAAAAATAGGAGATACCCGCTTATAAACAAGCATGCCCGCTACTATAATTGTGCATTGATTATATTTCACTGTTTCAAAGCCTAGTGCAGGTTTGGTTTTTTCCCAGGCATCTTTCAGGGAAAAGGCAAAAAGGTTACCACTTGATTAAGGATGCTCAGCATGATCAATAGTAATAGGTTCTCTTTGAACAGACAACTTTAGGCCAACATAAAGACTGTAGATAAACAACAGGAAAATATGGCTCGTGTTAATTCTCTCTGACTTGAAGCTCATGCGAGTTGCATCTTCTTTGGACATGCTGAATTATTTAAATTATTAGCAACTGCCACTGATGCTCCATATCATGACAAAAGCCATTTCAACACCAACACACAGATAATGTTTATGGTCAGAGCATTCTAGTCTTCTATACCAAATGAAAATAATTTGCAATGCTATGATAGATTGATACAAGTTCCCCTCACTGATACTAATGATATCTAAGAACTATTGCTTCATCCCGACTCTCAGCTCATTGACTCCAACAGGCTCTGATTGAAAGTAAATAATACTGACTCACAGTAAATGTCACGTCATTATTAGTCAACTTCTCACTACTCTAGGGATGGTCCTTAGTGAAAGAAAACAAAGAAAGAGAGGTCTGAATGAGGTGTTTGGTTTGGGCTGTATGCTCTTTTTTCATTCTTACATTCAAAGCAAAGATTATAGATATGTCATCCACAAGCAACCTACCGATTTGGGCACTGGTGGAGTAGTACTTGCGTAAGAGAAGCTGTGGTTTTCTGTTATCAGTTGTATGTTTGATTTTACCCACCTTCTGCTTGGTCTTTGCTGATGAAAATTAGGCCCCAAGCACTGCTAATGATATAAATAAACCTAGCATCCAGAGCAAGGAAAATGCTACTGGGCTTTAAAGGGAGGGGTAGGGGGGTACAACACCCACACCTTGATCCAAGATGTGGACATTCACCCTTGACCTCCTCGCATTACCAGCAAAGCCCTTTGACCAGAAGTGATTATGTTATGTGAGAAGGCTTTGATTTCAAGGAACAACCTCTCTCTGCCTGTAGGTGCTGAGATGAGAAAATTTCTGCCTACTGGATCCAGTTACTCAGTGGGTTAATGTTTTGAAACGTCAATACTCTTTTCTATTATGCAGCTGTTCTAGAATCCCATGGTATGCAACTGCAGTTCCCAGCACAATTACACCAGACAGCATCCTGTAGGTAATTAACCAAGAAATTCTTGGTTATTGAACAAAGCAACCAAAAAAAAAAGCAATGGTTTTTATGTACTTGAAGACACCATTTTAACTGAAAGGCCAAATCCTCTCAACAGTTGTAGTTTTGCCTGAGCTCAGGCTGCTGGACATAGACCTAGCCTCACCATCCCAGTCCCGATTTACTGGCTAAGCTCTGTCATCATTTACTTTGCAAGATGACTAGAATCCAATTCCAACTGACCATTTCCACTCACTACTGTATTACCATCCACTTTCTTCTCTGTCTCCCTACATACACTTGTTATCAGAAGATATGCAGAACTCTTACCACAACATCAACCCAGCTATGAATGATGTCACTAAAGGTGGAACTGCAAAATGGCCACATGCATCAGACGAGTCACCAGTTGTCACATGTTAATTTGTTACATATTTTGATTAAAAAGTCTCAGTAGATACTCATAACCCATCTCTACACTACATTGTACACTTAAATGAGCATCAACAAGACTAGACCAGAGTACCGTGTGATGCCTGTAATACAACTCTGGGGGCCAGGTTTAAAAGGTAGGTATGTGCTTAAAGCTAGAGGTAGGCATGTTTCAAAATTATCCCAGGCACATAAGTGCCTAACTCCTACTGAAATCAACAGGAGTTAAGTGCCAGAGTGATTCTGAAAATGCTGCCAATTGCCCAGCAGCATCTTTAGGCACCTCTCTCTTTCAAAAAAGTCTCATTCTGTGCATTTCCACTTGTAAATCTGCTTTATGCTGCTGCCTTTGATGGACAGAGACAACCCCTAATGGAGGAGGATGGATGCTCCCCAAGAAGCTTACAATCTAAATTGGACAAAAATGGGAAAAAAAACAAACCTGCTCCATGACCATAAAAAACCCAGTCCCCAAATACAGCAGAACTGGCTTGTCTTTTTTCCTTTTACACAGCAAGTGATTAGCTACAAAAGGCAGCCATATTGACTCTTGGAGTTGAGACACAGGAAAGATAACATGAGACAAGTTAGGTAGAAAAAGAGGTTTTATTTATAATCTTCAAAAAAGTGTTAAACAAATAGTGGGTAATCAGAAGAGCACCTATTAGAAACAGATGGTTCATTTTAATTTCAACATAAATGTAAGTTATATATAATAACTATCTTGAGATTATGCCACTGTGATTTGTAAAACAAGAAATATGAACAGATGGAGGCTGGGATTTCCCAAGGAGCCTAAGTGAACCATATTTGCAAGTCCCACTGAAATTCACTGAGTGGGCAACCTAATGCTCCAAGACTCCTAATAATGTGCTGCCATTTTGCTACAGTTAAGCACTCTGATAAGTCTAGTATTGGAAGCATCAAAGGAAACCGAGGGAAATGTAGAAGTTAGAAAGTCAGGCGATTGTTTGTGTCACAGGCCTTTGACCTCTAAATTCCCTTATAACCTTACTTGGGCACCTAGAGCAGAGGTCGGCAATATTTGAGCACAATGCCAAAAACACCTGCAACCTTGAATTGCCAGGGGCAGACAGCAGGGGAGCTACAAGGGGACAAGGAGAGCCTGATCCTTGTTGTGGCAGTGTAGCCCTGGCCCTTCCTGGAAGCGCAAGTACCAAGTAAAATGTCTTTGCATGCCACGCTTTTTTAACTCTAATACTTGTACCTCCATTTCCTGGCTTTGCTAATACTCTGATATCATCATTTGTAATGACTGCTGCATATGCTTCCACAGAATAAGGACACATGGAATGGACAGTGTGGGCCTTGCTGGACCATGTATTAATACAATCATTGATCAGTACATACACAGTTTAAACAAAGGCTCTGCTAAAGGCCTCACTGCGTACAGAAATAGGCATTACCACTAGGGCTGTGTGAAGCTTTGCTCCCGATTCGATTCAGCAGAGATTCGGCTCAATTTGGTGGCCAAATCTCCAAATCCAAATTGAATCGGAGGACCCTTTAATCTCTCTAAATGGAATCTGAAACCTCTGAATCGATTTGGAGAGATTCAAACACAGACTGGGCTTTAAATGTTTTTCTACATACCTGTAGGTAGCAGGGGCTCACGAGTGCTGCGATGCTGGGGCGCACGGAATGTCCCACAGAAGCACGGGGGGGCACTCAGCAGCAGAGGTCTGGACCAGAAGCACTTCTGGGTTTGCTGGGGAGCGCACTGGGGGGTCCCCCAAGTTGGCAATTGCCTGCAGGGAAACCCAGAAGTACTTCTGGTCCACTTCCAGGTTCACCGCTGAGCATGCGGAGGGCCCCTCTGCACTCCTGTGGGACGCTCCGTGCACTCCAGCATTGCAGCTTTCACAAGCCGCACCTGCTACCTCAAGGTATATGGAAGACATAGCCATAAAAGTTTTTACATCCAAATCACTGATTCTCCAAACCAGCATCAAATTTTAAGATTGGGCTAGATCGAATCAGGGACGGTGATCCAAATCAACGAACTGACTCTGGGTCAGCATGTGACCCTTCCACTTAACACAATCTCTGACCTCCAAACTTCTAGTGTTCCTGAATCAGAGCTTGAGAATGGAAGGATGTGTGTTGAACTGCACTGCAGGTTCAACATGCTAAGAATGCAACCCACTGGATTTCAAGTGAGAGTGCCATCCCTTTTGTTCCATGACAGAACATTTAAACTCTAATCTTCAAACTGGCATATTCCACCATAACACCAATTAGCTCTCAAAGCTCTCCACGAAAGATGCATGGAGTGGTAAATCATTTGTCCTATAAGGATAATACACAGAAGTACATTTGTTAGCAACACAAACATTAGATACCTGTCCTTAAAAATACAGGATTATGTACTGCACAGTTTGTGGTTTTAAAGTTGATGATTGAAAGTTATGAAAAAGTTTTGTATATAACATGTAAGATTATTACCTTTCTGTGTAAAGAAAAGAAAGTGCCCAAAAGCCAAATGCAAACTATTGACTTCATACTGCTATGCCTGTCTTGATATTGCAGGCTCTCCAGTTTTAGTTACCAGCTGACCAGGAATCATAAACTAATTTTGCTGCTACTGTATCTTCAATGGCCATCCCTGAAATATAGAACACACTTAAGTTACCTTCATAATCTGATCTCATAAAAGGAATTCTTAGGGAACAGAAGGATTCAGGATATCCTTGAATGGAACAGAAAATCTTACACCTCCAGGACACTAGTCTGGTAATGACCAAAAGCTGCTGTCACACCAAATGGCTATCAAGTGTCCTGTACTAAATGAATATTTTAGCCTCAATCTAACTGCCAGTGGCCAGAGATTCATACTCTAAAAACCAAAACAATTAGAACCAAGAATCCTGGCCAACAAATTATTAAGCTCAGAGAAAGGTACTCTCTCTCATCTCTTTCTTTTTTTAAAATAAGTTCCAATACTGTACTTCTTGGTCACATTATCTTTGATGCCCTGAAAGTCTGTTTGACCTAATCAGGATGCAGCAATGTTTATAACCAACAGTCATTAGCTAACTGAGGTAAACAAATGTAAACAAAAATTATAGAGAAGTACATTGTTCTTTATTTTCCTATCAATCCCCATTACAATCAGTCATGCTATGCTAAGAAAAAAAAGGAAAAACGCACAATATATGCTATGGCTACTCTCTTCTGTAGAATGCTATGGGACAGAAGCTTTGAAGATGATCAGCAATTTTCCCACGCAAGAGGAACTTAAATAAACAACAAGGCATTGTTTCTTGTCAGACTTGCACACAGGGGAGTGCTGTTCTTACCCAGTGATTTGAACACTGTTGTTTTCCCACAGAGCGCTGGTTTTGTCCCTTTCACTACCTCTCCCAACTCGGCAAAAATTTCTGCCTGTGAAACAAATGCACATTTCTTTAGTTAGAGAAGCTTGATATCCAAGGCAACTGTCAAGAGAAAAACTAGGTCTTGAGTTATTTTAAAAGAGATGAGAAATAAAATTGAAAACTCTTGCAAGCAACCCTTTTCCTAGGGCAAGGAAAATATAAGCTGGACAGTAATCACCGGAGACTTTTCACAGAAAACAAATCTGCCAGATTTTCATTGTTCAATAGATAGGTTCTTATTCATTACCTTTCTGAAAGGATAGAGTTTTGCGCATTTTACAGCATGCAAGTCTCTGAAATTAAACCTTATAAATGAAGGCCCTGTTTACTGTATGTGGACACTGCAGTATTGCAAGGGGGGGCATGTACAATCCATGGTACTTTGTCCCTTTCTCTCACTTTTCTGCAATACATACGTTGTCTAACTCATCTTCTCTTTCTGCCAGAGACTGTAAAATTGTAGACATTCTGAAAAATATAGCATAGCAATGTCTGTATGTGACACAGCAGTGAGTACCAATCACAGAGATCTCTCAGGATAAAAATAAAAAAAGGTAGCAGTAATAAAATCCAATTTTTTTCTTCTTTTCTGACATAGCTATAGAACTCTGGTAAGTATAGATCTGCCAAAAGAATGCCACAGTGTTGCTAATAAAGTTGGAGTGAAAGCAAAAGCTACAATGAGAAATGGCACAATGCAAAAGCAGTTTTCATCTGGTTGGGAGCTCTATTACATAACAAGAGCCTTACCCCTGATAATATAACATCTCCCGATTCAGTCAAAGCAGCCTCTCTGGAATCCACATACAGCACAGAATTCTTCATCACTACATCATCCAGTTCTCTCCAGTCTGGTCTGCTTGCCCCAATTGCTAAAAGACAAAAGCAATGGTTTTGAAAGAAATGTTTAGTTAACAAAAACACTTCTTGACCAAAAGACAGGACCAAAAACATTTCTAAAACGAAAGACTAGAACAAAACTGGCCTTGCCCAGCTGTTCACACTGATGAAATATAGCTTGAAATTAACCCCTGGGACATTCACTGGGAGAAAGCATGAAGAGCCTCACCTTCTGAGGAAAGTCTTGGGCTCCTCCTGTTTGGACAGGGCTACACATTATACGTGCAAAAGGCTTGATCCTGCTGAGCATGTTCTAGTCCCATGGGTCTCACTGCAGTATTGAGCCCCCAGGGTTCAAACAATCCTCCGAAGTGATGAGTGCCTATACAGTAGTGCCCAGCACCCTAATCCCTTACTAAGTCAAATCCTGATCCTACAGAAGTCTGTATATTCAGTTGAGCATGACTGATACTACTGAAATCCATGGGTCTCCTTGCAGAACCAGGGTGCTCCCACTTTACAGTATGATTTGTGGGAGCAAATCCACAGTGGCCAACTGAACCCTTAAAGGAAAAATATTCTCAGTATTTGACTCCATTTCAGCCAAAGTGCTCCCTCCAAGCAGCATGGTGGAGGAAGTCTCTGAAGCCAAATGCCATTTACAAAGGAAAAACAGTTGGCAGGTGGGGGGGTTGTTGGAAATTACCTGATGAATCTACCACTTTAGGCCAAATTTGGCTGAAGAGTTTTATACATGTCCCAGCTTGTTCTTGTTCCCACAGTGTCTGCCAAACCATTCCTTGCACCAATCCAAAAAAATCTAAAACCTGCTAAACAGTGTAGCTGCCTCAGAAAAGAGACCAAGGACTGCTGTAAGGGTGAAAGGGGAGCTCCATCCCCCAGTACAGGACAACTTCAAAGGATACAGGCAAGTCACTTCAGTTAGGCAACACAGGAAGCTTGCCTCAACTTTATTTACATTGCACCTCATCTGCAGATGCAAAGAGAGCTTGAATTTCTACCTTTGACTCTGTAAATAACTTTATTATTCAACTCAAACCCCACAAACAACCCTCACTGTAGTGTAACTTTGTAACCTGTCCAAGAAACATGGTTGATACTATACATATTCCATTGAATCTTCTCCCACCATCGACTTCACTCTCCCCTTTTTCTGTTCTTAACCCACACCTTCCCCTTGACTCCTGGCAAAGCCCTTCTGAAGAATTCAACCTTGGGTGCTGTCAGTGAACCATCCTCCCCAGTAAGATGCGAAGAGTAGAAGTGAATGAGTCAACCACCCCACTTTCCCGGTTATTTCTTGTCCCTCTCCTTAATTTGTTTGTAAATGCCTCAAGTTTCATAGGCAGACAAAGTTCTTTGCGTGAATCTGGTATCTTTTATTAGACCAATTTAAATAGTTGGAAAACAATTATTAAGCAAGCTTTCGGGTTCAGAAGCCCTTTGTCAGGCTAAGGAAGTTTCATAAGCCTTTTATTAAAACCATTTTGATATAGGCTTTCTTGATGCTGTATGCCTTCATAAAGAAATGCAATTTGAAAGCTTCCTCGCTCATCTTTATCAGATCAAAACCAAAGACATAATCTGCTGCAAAGAACAGCAAGGGAAGATGAATGACTGAACAATATTAGCCAAGACTTATAAGAAAAGACTGGAAACTGTGTCTGCTAATAACTTCACCAGCAGTGCACTTTGAGTCTGGTTATGGATTTTTTACTCATCTGGAGAGATCTTTAAACAATCAAAGGCTTATATTAAAAATGCAAAAAAATGCAAAAGACCCCCAAAACCCTACAGTATTACCAACTTGCTTTGGACTGACGAAAGCAAAGAGAATACTGCACTGAAAGAGACAACAATTGCCCTTTCCCAACAGTTGGAGTGAGAACTCCCAGCTTGTCCGAATGCCTGCTCAAACAGTAGGAACGCCTCTGAGAAAAATAAAAACAAGACAAAACGCAAACAAGTAGACTGGGTCTTTATGTAGGACTGAAGACACTAATAGATTCTGGTTGTAATCCTGGCCCCCTGCTGTGACATGGCACAGAGAATAGTGTTGATGACAAAGGATTTAACTGAGTCTGAAAAATCAGTAGGATGCTGCTAGAATGCAGGAACTTCCTTTACATTGTCCCCTTTGACAAGCTATCTTTGTTCTATTACTAAGCCCCTTGAAAAGGGCACTAGCTCTTCTGAACCAAGTCCAAAATTAATAAATATAAATAAATGCCAATGGGTCTAGAGGCTCTCCACTAATGCAGCAGCCTCAGAGGAAAAAAAGAAAAACAAAATGAAAAGTCCAGATCTGGAGTTTCTTATACAATTTTTACATAGTTCATGCAAAACTTCCAAGGAAGTCAATGCAATTCAGGCTTGGAAGATACAGTACAGCAAGAGAAAAAGAAAAAGATTATAAATCCCAGGGAAATCAGTGCTACCCTATGTTACTTTAGGCAAAACATGTTTCTGAGGTATTGTTTAACTAGGGGACAAGCTGGACACCATGGAGAAGCAGAGCCAAATCTTCCACTGCAAAGATGAGATGTGCTAAGCCATGGTGGGATCCTACAAGGCACCGAACCCAGGTACCAGCAGGACAATGCTCAAAGTGAAGCAGTAAAAATAAATAAGCGTTTATTCTAAGAAACCTACATCCTGGTTTCTGAGAGTAGAAAACAGCAGTGAGCATATTACCAGAGCTAAATCACACAATAATGAGTCCAGCTGAGAAATTCCCTTAAGTAAGGAAAGTCCGACATACCATTGATATGGGCGCCTGGTTTTACCCATTCTCCAAATAAAATAGGTGTTGTCGCCATGGTAACTGTTATAATGACATCAGCCCCAATAACGGCCTCCTGAGCAGAAGAGCAAACCTGCACCGGACCCCTCACCAAGCCAGCAAACTTCACAGCATTCTCCTTCGTGCGATTCCACATCCTGACCTTCAAAGCAAAAACAAAAAGCAGGTAGGTCAAGTGGAACTGCTGTGGGAGTAATTCGACCTCTCATTCTACTCACCCAAATGAAGTTTTCTGTTTTGTTTTTTTTTAATTAAAATACAAATATCCTTAGCCTTCCCCATCCCCTATTATCATTAATCCTCCTGTCCCACAATTTCATGTGTGGGATTAATTTTGCCCTGCTAGTATAATAGCTCATTGTATCTTTAGACTTAGAAAATGCAAATTCTATGAATGTAGCAACTCTGAACCAATGCAGGCATTGGGAAGCTGGTCCACATATAGTAGGATTTTTTTCATACTTGGAAAAAAGGAAATCTGATGTTTCCTACATATGTTTTACAATATCCCTTTGTGATCCAAAGAAGACCATGTACAGCAGGCAGTGGCAATCTACATACCACCCACAGTCCAAATCAGGCCCATGAAGTGACCTACCTGGCCTACCAACCAAAGCTTGTTTAATATACTCTGTCCATTTGCATGAGAATGCATCAGCCTATGGCCACCTCCAGCCCGCTTTAGGATCAAGCGGTATCATTTCAGCCTGCTCTCAGTGAAAGCTTGCAGACCCGTGATCTGGAGAACTGCAAGTATCATCAGCTTCTCTAACGATGCTTTGTTAAAAGTGTTTGAATTTGATAGACAAGGTTATTTGGGTGAATCTGATACCTTTTATTAGACCAACTTAAACAGTTGGAAAAAGAAATTAGCAAGCTTTTGGGTTTAAAAACCCTTTGTCAGGCAGAGGAAGTCTCTGCAGTTGGTACGTACACTCTTCACTATTAATTCCATCCAGGAAGAGCACACACCAACTGCAGAGACTTCCTCAGCCTGAAGAAGGGTTTTTAAACCCGAAAGCTTGCTAAATAATTCCCCCCCCCCAACTATTTTAGTTGGTCTAATAAAAGATCTCAGATTCACCCAAAGAACCTTATCTGGTTATGTCCTTAGACCAACACAGCTACAACCTACACCCCTGAAATATTAGATGCAACTTCACTTATTTTATGTACTCTAGTTACTCTACCTACATGCTACTGAAAAACAGATTGAGAAAAATATTTTTTTCCATTTAGATGCTATAGCTGTCTTACCTCCTTAAATGAAAACAGCTCTGTAAAAATATCATAATGGCTATGGGCTTGAACCCCAGCTCCCAAAATGCACAGCACTTCTGCAGAGGGTGGCATCAAGAGCTAAAACACATCAAGTTACAAAAGAAATCAGTGGCAGTAGTCATGGATGACACAAAACTATGGGAATGGTCCCTTTTTTTTTAAATTGAAAACTCTTCAATTTTAGTTGCATTTTCAGTACAGAATTACTTTTTTAAACCTAACCCTCCTTTTTCCCCTTGGGAACTAATGACCCCAAGAGTCATTACTCCAAGAGAAACTTTTCTGGGCTTGAAGCAGTTTCCTTTACCCACATCTAAAATTTAATATTGTGAACCACATTCTGTACTTTTTATACTGGGCTACTTGTACTGGTTTGATTACAGCAACATAGTTAATCCACTGTAAAACCAGAATAGATGTGCTGCACTCATGCAAAATATGAGTGTATCAGCCACTAATACAGGGGCGGGCAATTATTTTGGGCGGAGGACCACTTACCCAGTTCTGGCAGGCTGTTGAGGGCCGCATGGGTAGCCCTGCCCCTTGACAGGTGCCCCACCCCCTGGTCACCATCTTGGGACCAACATCCCAATGTCTTGGGAACAACATCCCAGGGCCAGCACCGGTAAGGCCCAGAGAGGGGCACAGGCTAGCAAGGGTCTGTGGAGCCAGGTTGGGCTGCACTAGCAGGGAGGGGGGAGCTGGCCCGGCTCCATAGAGCCCCTGCCAGCTGGGACCCCACGCTCCTGCCACCCTGCTCTAGGCCCCACTGGCACTGGACCTGGAACACTGGTGCGGGCCCCGTGCTCCCTGTCCACTCAAACCCAGTGCCCCCTAGCCCTGCGGTACAGGCGGGGGAGGGCAGCGCTCAGCCCTGACCCCTGCTCACCAGCAGGGAAGAAGCTGGTGCTGAGCACAGGAAAAAATGGCCCCTTGCCTGCCCCATGGCTGGCGCTCCCTGCTGCAGCTGCTTGCAGCCCAAGCAGGGCTGTCCGTAGCTGACACAGGCAGCCTCATGCGGGCTGCAGGTGGCTGCAGCGCAGGGCACTGGCCATGGGGTGGACAAGGGGCCATTTTTCCCCACGCTCAGCATCAGCACCAGCCTGCCAGTGGGGCCAGGTTACAAGGTGGTGCTGAGTATGTGCAGAGCGGGGAGGGGGGCAAGAGAAAGCAGCTACTCCCATGCCCGGCACCCCGCACTGCAGCTGCTCACAGCCTGCGTGGGGATGCTTGTGCCTGATCCGCACAGCCCCATGAGGGCCATCTGCGAACACCTGCAGTGCACGGCAGGGCACCGGCCATGGGGCAGGCGAGGGACCGCTTTTCTCTGTGCAGGGAAACAGCCTGGGGGGGGAGGGAGGGGGGCAGTCCCTCCCCTGCCCCACAGCCAGTGCCGCACGCTGCAAGTGCTCACAGCCCACATGGGGCTGTCCAGAGTGGGCACAGGCAGCCCCACGCAGGCTGCAAGCAGCTGCAGCATTGAGGCCCTGGGCATGGGTAGGGAGGGGCCACTCCCCACCCCCCCTGCACTCCTTCCCTGCCTGGGGTCCCCCAGCCCCCACTTACCTGAGCTTCCTGCGCCAAGACAACCACATGCTCCCAGCTGGGACTTCCAGCTGGGGGGCAGGGCCAGGTGGGCACCAGGCTTCTCCTGGGTCCTACTGCCCTTGGTTCCTGCCATTTTTGAAGGAACCAAGGGCAGAGAAATATTAATTTTCTATATATATTAGGGGCCCTGTGGGCCAGATAGAACGGCCTCACAGGCCGGTTCCAGCCAACAGGTCGTATTTTGCCCACCCCTGCACTAATGCAATACACCAGTACAGACACACTTGGGTGGTATTTGCTTGCCAGGAATTCATCATCTGGGCTGGTTTACAGGGCAGAATTTGGCCTTGTCCATTATGTTCTTCATCATGCAAAACTTTGCAGATTATATATTATGTTGTTGCCAGCAACGGTGAAGGAAAGGAAGAAAAGCATTTTACTTAGCAATCTTGTGGAGCATGTTTTTCGCAATTTAAACTGGATAATGGCCGTCAGACTAGAATCACTAGTCTGCCACCTGAAGTACCATCAGTATTGATCAGCAACCCTCTAATCCAGTCTGTTTGTTTAGAGATGAATTATTTACTCTAGGGGGGAAAAAAACAAACAAAAA